ACCTGATGTTTCTGCGCCGCAACCCTCGATTTGCTTCCCCATCCACCAAAAGTGATCGTCCAATTACGATCTACCGGAACAAATATAATACTTCACACGCTTTCTCAAGCCACCACCATGAAATCTCGTTGACTCGAGATACCACTTTGGCGGGTGGCAAATAATCTTCAGGCGCTTTAACCCTGGAAGGCCATGACCTCCTTTAGGCGGTGGATTGCTCACGGGCATATGTTATTTCACGACGGCTTGACGTCTGTGACTGGTGACCTGCTGTCAGTGGTTGAGGGTACGGCGTCTCAACCCAGATGGCGGTCCAGGGGGACCGAATCGGCTTTTTCTCTACTATGTGACCTACCGAATAATAGCAACCATAGCTTGTGTGCGTATTGTATAGCGTCGACTGTTGTGGTGGTGATCCTTGCCTGCTATGCTGTAGCGACCTTCAGCCTTGACCTTAAGTTGATTGCGTACATGATTTATTTATTATTTTCCGTCCGCTGTTATCGACGCAGATTACGTATAACTAGTTGCTTGGGCCTCGTGAACCGCTAATTAGGTGCATTCAAAAGTATGCTCTGACAGACGAAATGACTATCCTGACATGTTTCGTTGGTTACATTAGAGAACCCCGATACAATTTGCCACGAAACTTGCGTTTGTCATAATCATCCACACGCCTTACGTTCTTCGAACCTCGTACAAGTTGTCCGAAAAATGAATGTGTCCACCGTGATGATGAGCACCATTTAGACTCCAGAAAGCTAATTCAATCATTTCAGATGTGGGACTGCCTGCAAGGTTCGTACATTGCAAGTGACTGTCGTTTTATTGCGAGTCGCGATATCTTATTGTTGTCCCAATCGGCGGTGGTTGGTGACTTTGAAGATCAGCTCACTCAAATAATCGATGCATGCGGACAATTAGCAGAACTTACTATGCACAGATATTGCTCACAATGAGTCGGTAACCCTGGAATCCTCGTAGTTTCCAAGACAAATTCCGTTTTATGAAACAGGGCTTCTTAAGCGAAGAACGATTTAAATGCTTAATACGCGCAAATTTAGGAGAGCTCGACGGCTTAACCAAGCGAAAAATTAGTCCAAAACGATTTATCCCGGGAAATGTAATCTCACATCAGCTGGGATATGTACAATTTGACGTCCGTCAAATGCATAAGTTAACGTTGCAAGGCTTGTCCACACACCCGAAGATGTTCATCATCCATCCATTTTCTCCTCCCAGATTTTTCTCGGCCATCTACATATAAGTTTAGCAGGAAGTCGGCGTTTTTGGTTTCTGATGTTTGGAAATGGTCTTAATCCTATTTCCATGACTTTTTAATTACTGATCAACATATCGTTGCAGCCACCAGATAACACGCTGGTCAACCACCATCCTGGATTTCGTCGTCACCAACGAGAGACACTTCGTTGATCAGGTAACAATCAACGCTCCACTGGGACATAGTGACCACTGTGTGCTGACCTTTGATTTCATCCGCTATTGGACCGGAAACCCCGGACCTCAAACGTGGTTTCGAGACTTCTACCGTGCAGACTTCCCAGGAATGCGCACCTTTCTTGAACAAGTTACAATCAGACCAGTTCAAGTGGAAGAATTATATGGGACCATTGTCCAGAAAGTTCGCGAGGCTGACGCGGTGTTCGTCCCAAAAGACCAGCGCGTGCTCGGATGAGCCACAGGCCGCCAAAAAGGATGCGGTGACTTCTGGAAAAAAGGTCCCAACTCTTTTCAAAAAAGGATGCAGAAGAGGGGCCGGCATTTCGTAAAATGCGGAACCGCTGTAAATCCGAAATCCACAACTGGAACATACGAAAACGAGCCACCACCCTAGACCGACTATCGCCTGGCAGCTACGGGCCTATAAGCCTCACTAGCGTGCGTGCAAGGTGATGGAACGCATTCTGAAGTGAGCTTTCCCAGATCACCTTGCTTCCAGCAACCTGTTACCTCCAGCTGAACACGGATTCCTCCCAAACCGTTCTTGCGTAACAAACATACTCGTTTATATGGACAGCTTAACCCAAGCAAAGGACGAAGGACTCATATCGGATGCCATATTTTTCGACTTCTCAAAAGCACTCGATGGGGTCCCACACGTCCCGCTGCTCCACAAACTCGAGTCTTACGGGATTCAAGGGAAAATCCTTCGCTGGATCAAGGCG